AGGACATAATGTTCTTCATCAACGTAAAGATATATGCAACAGTATTTAATAACTTTCAGTCAGTAGACGTACATTAATATTTAGCTTTTTCCGTACTTCAGAAGCTGCAATGATTAAATAACACGAAGACTGCATGCATATTGCGATCGGCTGTTGTTTAAAAATACTCCTTTTCTTTTGGTCATGTTATTGTTGTTGTTTTCTCTTGTTTCCGTCGCATCATCTTTTTTTTTGGCTGGACTAAAGTATACTACAAATTTACATGTATTTTTTTGAAACAGTCGTCGAAGAAGGAATATTATGGCGCTAATCCATACACTAATCCTCTCCGATTTTTTCCTTTAGGTAATAAAGATAAAGATAATAATATTAATAATAATAATAATAATAATAATAATAATAATAATAGTAATAATAATGATAATAATGACAATAATAATAATAATAATAATAATAATAATAATAATAATAACAATAATAATAATTAAGAAGGGATGAAAGAAAAAAAAGTAAAATCGTGATGTTTGAAAAAGTTACATTCATCGAGTAAGAAAACACCTTTTTTTAAGACTTTTAAAACGAAATTTAAAGGATCCCTTAATTTTAATTTGTATGTTTTCTGAAGATTGGGTAGATTTTTCAGGATACAATGCGATTATGGTTATTTACAGTCATAACAATTCTAACTGAATTTTAAAATTTTCTCGATCAAACTCATGCAAGTGATAAAAGCTAAAATTTAATAAATAAACCAGTTCATAACACCACAACTTCTTTTCCATTAAATCTGGAAATATACATTCTCTTTGTCATTAAGTTTTGACATTTTTGACATACTGAGATTTTAACAAAGGAAGGAAAACTTTTGTCATCCTTAGCTAATGAACATAGTTTAATTACCTCAAACCACAACCTAGTCTGTCAAAGGGGAAAACGCATGTTCATTAATTTTGGTTTAGGTTGACAAGAATCTTAGAATTCAACGGAAACAATATTTTCACTGAGTAGCTTTTTGTAAACAAAAAGAAGTTCTTACGTGGAAAGCAAAAAAAATATCATTTGACAGTTGTGTCATGACAGTGCGAAGTTAAAGCCTTGAAGAATTAAAGACATTGCCATACAAAATTTAAGACGGAATCCTCTAGGGAATTGAGTAATTTTAATTCTTAGTGGACAAAACCATTGTACCACACAATTTAAAGAATATTGCATTCTTTTTTACATCTTTCAAGGCCTAAAGATGTACTTAGTCTTCTGTAATAACACCAAAGAAAATGAATGTCAAATTTCACAAGAATTGTGAAAACACAGGTAAAATTCTGAAAATTTAATGCGTAAGATGTGATTTTGTGAAATTTGACATTCATTTTCTCGGACTTCCATGAGAAGTTTTCTTTGGTGTTATTTCAGATGAATAATTACATCTTTAGCCCTTGAAAAATGTATAAAAGAATGCAATATGCTTTAAATTATTCTGATGCAAGGTTTTTGTTCAAGAAAATTAAAGTTACTCCATATCCTGGTGGGTTCCGTCCTTAAATCTTAAAACTTTAAAGCGCTTTATGTAACGCAAGGCTATGTTTCGATATGTTCACACTATAGTGGATTAGGTTTTTGGGCTGGCACGTAAACGATACCTAATTAACAAGGGATTCTTTTCACACATAAAAATGGTGATTTTGGCATGACTTCTGTACATGACAGCGTAGCCCCACCGATCTCTTAAGTGCAGAGTCACATATCGGATAAGTGTTCATACTATGCCGGATAGCTTTTCATGTCGGCACGAACAGAACAGCCTGAACGTCGCCTGAACCTGTAAGATAATGGACGATGCTTAGCTTTCTTCGGCTGGTGTGCATAGTTAGTTGGCTTGCTCGCACAAGAAGATCCAGCGATCTATAATTTACAGCGGCAGCCCTTCACGAGAGGTAGTTTCAGCGCTTTTTTTTCTGAAGTGTAAATCTTAGCAAGACCAACCAGAGTTCAAATTCACGAAACCAGAACAACTGAGCCGTTCTGCTTCGGCAAGTAACAGCGTACCCTTATTATAAATCATGGTCAATCCTAGCCAACAATTTATTACACGCACACTGAAAAAATCTATCTATTTTTTATCATTTTATGTACGCATGATGAGCTTTATAAAATTTTAAAGTTTGAACTACTCTAACTTTATCATAAAGTGGACTTAAACTAACTCTAAGTAGTCCATTATTTTGTCTTGAACATGGCTCCCAAGAAATTAACTTAAACGTGTTTTCTTTTTCAGTTCTGACCGGTTACTTTTTCTCGCAATAGTTTTAAGCACATAATTTTGAATCTGAGTTGTATTACTATTCGTGGAATAACTGGGGGAGTCTTAACGACGAAAAAACAACGTTTTACAGTTTTGTGTGTCAATGTGACGGTGCCTTGTAGTTGCCGCTTACAAGGTTGTCATGGTTACCTCCTTGGCTCGCTTTCGGCTCCTTCAGTTTGACCAGGCACCTTGCACATACCCATCTATTTTCGAAGGGCTTGACATCGTGTTTGTGAGATATTTATGAAATAACAAGCTTTTCTCTTTACTATGTTGATACATCTTTGTTTTGCTAGGTGTCACTGAACGACGAGATGGCGTAGTTAAGCCCGGACCGATATCATATATGGAGAGGTCCAAATTAAGTTCTTAGTCCTAGGGTGGCAAGTTACCAGCACACTGGTGAGTACTTCCTGGATATGGGTATGTTTTATTGTATAATTTTAACTACATTATAATGACGGTGCGAACAAAAGCGCCAACGTTATTAACTGGGGGCTTTTGTGGACAAACTACAGTGATTTGTATGAGATTATCCCCCTGAGCCTCACCTCATTTCTTTATTTTTGCTCAATAGAGAGGAGAAGTGTGACGTGACTTTACCATGTTAGCACTATTTCTGGATGCCAAAACCAACGACGACGGCGGCGGCAAGGAGAACGGCAAAAAATGATATGTTTATATTAACAAACGACAACTTTGCACGTGCATCACTTTTTGTACATTTTGTACACATGTACGACATGAAACTTACCAATTTCACGACCCCGGTTTATGGATTAAGTGAACACAGCACAATAAGTGTCACTTTTTTTTACTAATATTAGATAACGATAGATACGGCCGCAAAGAAAATTTCGCCGAGATTTGCCAAATTAATTAAAATTGGGTAAGGTCGGTGAAGTTTGAAATACTGCGAATAGACTTTTAAGTGAATTTAACGGTTTGTTGTCGTCCAAAAAGTTTGCTACCATGGCAACGCGACGTAACGACTTATCCTCTCTATAGAGCGGAATGCGGGAAAGGCCTACTTGGGCTAGCTTACTTTATTTTTCCGCAAATGATAAGGGCTACAACTTCTTCTTTACCTGGACACACTCGACACACTGGAGTTCTTTGGGAAATTAGATGTAATTTGTTTACCCGCGACGCACTAAGGAGATCGTAAGAACTCGTTTAAAGGCGTCCGTGCTTTCAGGACCTTAGCTTGGTCTAGCCGAATAAGGGTGAGCCTCAACCCGCAAACCTGGCGGCAAGGCCCTGGTCACATGACTTCTTGACGTTCGCGGTTCGCGAGAAATGCCGAAAAACCTCAATCTTAAGGTCTCTAAAGATGGTACTTTTAAGCGTGACGAAGAAATTTCCCCTGTTTAAACAAAGATCGCGTCTTAATCCTATTTATATTCCCGACTAAGAGACGGGAATGGGTGTGCAGCTCGAACTGTGAGCCTGGGTGTTTATTGCCGTCCAAATAACATACAAAGTTCAACATCATAACTAGAGAATGGTATACAAATATTCCTAAATAAAGTCACTCCGGTTAAACTATTCATCTGCGCTGGCTGATACGAAAACCCATAAACCTGATAGGAATAAAAAAAATTGGGAACGTATTCCCCAACCGATGCGGTCGCACAACCCCTGGGGGTTTAAGGTAAAAAATCAATGATAAATGAATAAAGTAAGATATAAAGATAAAAGTTGGTAGTTCGAGAGTTGAGATGAATACAGCCGTCAAAACCTTATATACTTGACAACAATAGAGTCAATTAACGCTATAGCGGCTCACGTGCGTTCATACCAATAGGAAAGTATTTACATTCTCTGTTGTCACTGCCACTACGTTTAGCTCCGCCGAATGTAAACACATTAGGTCTATGTCAAATGGATGTGTGAAACGGGATCAGATGTTCAGTTTTAAAGACGGGTAGTCCGTGCCGTACAAGAGACGGAAAGACCGACTCTCAGGAGGCAGCCGTTATATATTTGTGGCAATTGGGATGTTCTCAGAGTATCTCTTTCGAATCAGCCAACAGTCCAAGCAGACGGCGTTCAAATTACCTCCAGTCAGTCTAAGACCCAGGCGCACGCCATTGACTAACAATACGTACTGTTGCCTGTCAACAGAAACCGTCCTGGTGAGGGCATGACCAAAATATAAGTATGCAAATAAACATGTTTCAAATCGTGACTAAAATTTAAACTTTGACAGGCTCTTTAACGTACACTAGAGCTTACGATATTGAACTATTTTGCTTTTATTGTTTAGTGTATCTAATGTAATATATTGTAAAAAGAAAAGATAATGGGTTACATGGATCACAAGCGAGAAGCAGGTCTTTGATGCGAGAGGTGACCCATTTTGAATTTTAAATTAATAATGTTTTAATCTGAAAGTTGATAAAGTACAATTCGTTTATCGTTTGACAGACTAATAACAACTATATTTAGTCATCAAAATATATTTTTTGACGTTGATAGATAATTGGTCTTTTGCAGAATAAAACCTGCCTTTCCTGTTTTTTAGTGTTTTGATAAACCCCTCGGTCGCAGCTGAGCGCTTCTCAGCGGATAGACAGCAGCATTCATTTCCTAACAACATTTCTAACAGAGTGATAAATGACGAAGTAGGTGCTCATCGAATCTGCACCTTTATTTTAAAGCATCTCACACTGTAGCCGCGACTTAGCTTTTGAGAATGCTCTCCTATGCGATTCCTCTTTACTTATGCTTGATCTCAAGAGAGGCTTTATCAACAACAAAAACATCGTTCCCAGGGGCAATTTTTACGAAGGAAAACTCGAGATTGAAGGGATACTCTTTTAAATGGCATGTCACCCCCAGCCAGATATCATGCACTCAAGCTTGCCTCAGGAACCCAAGATGCGACTCAACAAACTTCAAAGAAACTGGAGTACATGGTGCCAGACAAGAAGGCACATGTGAGTTGAACACTGAAAGCCCATTGGACCTGATAAGTTTGGAAAAGGATTTACATTATGAATTTGGAAGTTTGTACGCTCGATACTCAAGAGACAACATGGTGAGTTTGATATTTAATTTTATTTCATTGCTTATTCTTGTCCCTTTTTACCTTTTCTTTTTATTTAAGCGTCATTTTTAGGGCCCTTTACCTTTCTCTAAGATGATTTAAGTCTCGGTGATGCTAATGCTCTAGCCACACTGCGGGTTTCAGGACGTAAAGTTATTATGAATCACAGCTGTTTGTACTTTTTCAAACTTATATTCTGTTGTTCTATAAAAGTGGAAGCCATAGTTTTGCTTACCCCTCACAGCTTCATAGGTAGTATTACAGCCGGTCTATGATGGTCTTAGATGCATATTGTTAGGGTAAAGAATTTGTAACAGTATAGCTCTGGATCTAAAGTGATAATCAACAAACTGACCGTTTTGTATAGTTTTTCTTTATCACCTGTGTGTCCCAGGCATTATTTAAGCTTTACTCTTTTCATTTCGACTACCTCAGCCATTCTTGGTCTCATGTTCCGGCGGCAAGTTAAACATTATATTTTTAAACGACATAAATTTATGTTAGTGAAACTTTAATGATCGCTGGACGGACACATAATCTGTCATGCACACAATTATTTGCTTTATATTGGCCACTCTCATCGATTCCATTTTTAAAAAAGGATAGAGTAAATTCGAAGTAGTAGAGAGATTTTCATTTACGGAGTCAAAAGAACGAACTTTATTGCAAAAAAAATCCTAGCAATCTGCAGAAACTCGATCGCCTAGACTCACCTGACTCTCGTTAAAATAACTCTTTTTCTTAAACTCGCCTAGTTTCTATTTTAAAAGAGAGGGAATATAAACAAGATCAGTTATTCACAACCGGTGTAGGTTGACAAGAGGGCTAAATGAAAATGACACATATCGGAAATACTTTGAATAGGAAATTAAATTATTCGGCGTTTTTTTTCTTCCAAATTTTAATGAGACCTTTATTGTCACCCGCTCAGAACTTGGCAGATATCACAACCACGAACCCCATCTGAAATTTGACCAATTATGGATTACAACTTCTATTCAATATAATTTCAACTGAGGAGGTTAGAAATTAAGGCTTTCTGTCGCAAACCTTTTTTCTAATCCATCCACGAACATCAAATACGCACAGCATGGAGACGGTCACACTAGTACTGTTGGTCCTAAAACAAAAAAGTATAAGTACATGTATCTTGAAGTATATCTGGAAAACAAAACAAAGATATATGACAACCTTTTTGCCACAATGACTTTCTAAAAGATAATTAAAGGGTAAATGAAAGGGTGAAAATTAGGGACCATTTCAGTACAAAAGTTCCAGATGCTCATTTAATATTTGCTCCATTAAAGTGCAAAGAAAATAGCGTCGAAAACATTCTGTAGTTCCGTAAATATAATTTCTGACTAAAATGCAAAATTTAAGTGATAAACGTGAAACTCAACCCTTTCACTGTGTGTCAATTTGATTCAAAATCGCGATGATAAATGCTCTTTTTTATCACGGATTTTTTTAAGTGGATAAGAAAAAAAGAAAACAAATATTTGACTTTCATAACTAATAAATTTAGTTTAATTATCTTAATTTAAAAAACTGCATTTGTACCAGTCAAAATAGACGTGGTATTTGAATTAATATTGTTTAGTTTGACTAGAATATAAAAAATTAACGGAAATAGTTCTCTTTTTTTAGCCGATAAGAAGCTGGAAAAAAATATCATTCTGCCCTCGCGCTGAGGTAGTCAGGAGTTAGAGACTAAAAGAATATTTTATATCCAAATTAAATCCGTCCTGCTTTCAAAAAATAATTGATTTGAAAAAAAAAAGAAAAAAAAAGAAAGAAATTGCACATATTTACACATTTTTGATGATTGTGACGCAGTGTCGCCATTTAGCTAGCTCGCGTGTATATGATTCTGCACTTCGTTAATATTCGGGATTTACAATGTTTCTAAATGGAGGTTTTCGGGAAAATATTGTCGATATTTTATGGGAAGAGTAGATCTTGGGGAAGGCAAATAGGATCTGAAGTCGTTCGCAGGTAATAAACTTCATTTTTGAGGAAAGTTCCATTTATAGTTTAAATTTCGATCTTTTAATGTTACCCCTATCTCAAATGCATGGTTATCTCCTATTTTCTATTTAGATTTAACAACCAGGAACTCTGAAATTTTACATTGATAGAATTATAATCCAGTGAAGTCCAACGAAAGTTACCCGGCGCTCTAGCCAATTCCACAACTCAATCGTGAATTTGCGATGGAATCTAAAGGGGCTAGCCAAATATGCCGTAAATGACCTAATAAACGCTTTTTTCCACATAAACGCCTCTTATCTAATAGACACCACCTCTACGCTCTTAAAATTGTATTAGACGCCTCTTTCTAAACGCCCCCGTATGAGAATTGTACTCTAAAATACTAAGAAGTGGAAAAAAGGAGCAAAATCATTTCATACATTCAGCTTCTTGCTTGATTTACAGGGCTTTGTGTATTTCGTTCTATTGTTCAATGTCAAGTTCAGAGTAAGGATAGACTAACGATGGCAACACAAAAACCCTGAGCGACGATTCTGGCATCGGTGTTGGGATTTGAAAGAGCGATATGGATCTCTTGATGACCTAGAAATAACAATTGGTGGATTGGATATTCCGCTATTTTAAAGCTAAGCTCTCTTGATAATATTATTTTCTTCCGAAAGCATATTACTTCTGCTGCGCTTTTTACAGTTTTGGGAATAAACGCCTCTGTCTTTTAAACGTTTCCTATCTATTAAACGCCCCCACTTGGACCCCTTGAATGAAATAGACGCCCCGGGCGTTTATTACATGTATTTCATTTACGGTACCCGCCTGAGATTGCTACGTTGCACAAAAGAGAAACTATGTTTATAAAAAGTAATGATAGTGATGATTTTAATCTCGACTTTTCAGTGTATCTCCAAATTTTATCTTAGGATGACTCATGTCGATGGATTGGATGCCAAAACAATGGTGCTTGCGTAAAAATAAACGAACAATATAAATGCGAGTGTGGTGTCCAGTGGATTGGGAAATTTTGCGAAACAAAAAACAGTGAGTATAATAAGCGTTATTTATCTTTAGCCTGCGTGGAAGCTCTTCATTTCAGAATCGATTGCGGGCTAGCAAAAGTTCTTTCAAAGCTTGACGGCGCGGGATCTTACATTAGAGAGATTTAGAGTTACATTTACGGCAAACGACAAACGTCAGATTCAATTGGTGAATTTCTTAAAATAGATAAAAAGATAAAAGATAAAACTAACGTGAAGCTACGAATTTTGGGGTGAAACTAATTAACAGAAAAGTACAAGTTAAGGTAAAACTTGGTCTCTTGGTACAAATTTACGTTTACCGTAAACGTGAGTCTAAATTTCTTTAATCTCGTTATTTTCAAATGAAGTCTCCTCTGGTAAGCATTTCATCCCTGTTTCGTTGCAGTTTTTATTTACAACTTTGCTCAGGAAAGGTGCAAGAAAATCAAACGGGTTATCAATGAAAGAACAAGAAACGTTACTCGCCTTAGAGACATTTTCCATTTCTTAAAAGGCAGGGCGGTTACGTTTGAAGCATATTCCTTGTTTTTCAGAAGAAAAAAAAACAAACAAACAAACAAACAAAAACAAAGACATCGTTTTACCGACTGAAGAATTAAGTTAACTGATGGTGTTGTATTAGATTGCCCTTATAGAGGTGACATTCTTACACGAATTTCGTGTTGGATTTACCATTCAAAAAGCTACTATTGAAATGATTTTCTTTGGCTTCAAAGGAAAAAAAAATCATGGCAAATGTAAGGCACTGAATTTTGAACGAATGGACTACTTAACGATGACTTTACTATTCTCAAGGAACGGGAAAGAGTAACATAACACACAACTAGGCAAGAGGGATCCTGGGTTCTAAGCAGCTGCGACACGAAATAGGCTCCTGTTTTGAAACATGTTTTGCGTTGTTTTGTAGGTTCATTTGTTTTTATCTCATAACGGGAAAAGAAATTTGATTGATCGAACATGAAACTGTTTCTTTTTCTTTGCCCTCAAAAACACCTCGAATAAAATCATAGATCAGAGACTGCTAAATTTAGAAACAGAAACTAATGATTGAGTAAAGGCCGTCAGTCACCAATATCTTGTATTTGGTTCTCCCTTTTAAGATCTTTTAACTTTATAATGGTAATGGCTTAATCCTCTAGAAAAATTGTAACTCAAAAAAAATGTTGAAACCAATACACCCTTAATTCATGTCGCCTCTTATTAAAAATAATTAGCTGGTTACATCTTGATGTAGCCTTTCGCGTTGCAGGTGGCCCACCGGGCCGTAAGCTTTATTGACCACTTCAATGCGTTACAAATCACAAATGTGAATTTCTTCCACCTCATCCCCCAAAATCATCCTACATTTGGGTGTACTTCACTTTTCATAAACACGCGCATTCTGAAGTTCAAAAGCCAACTGACGCTTGCGTTTTTCACTTTCGCTGCCGTCAATCATCTTAAACTGACCTCTTAGAAAACAGAATTTTACTTCAACGGGTTCAAAAGGTCATGGTTTGTGATTTGGTTTTGGTGGATTTCGATCCGTTTGTGTGTTTCAGTGTTTCAAGGTTCGTTGTTTGTGATGATTGACGGCAGCGAAAAACGCAATGGTGAAGGCGGTTTTTTAAATTCAGAGTTCAGAGTTCGCGTTTTTGAAAAGCACAGTAACCCAAGTTTTGACAGTTTTGGTTCATAACCTAGGGTGGTACAACTTCACGACGCTGGGGGCCACAGGAAAAAATGGTCCAGTTAGTGCTGAAGGATATAAAGGCACTCCACTCCAGGAGGTACAAGTCACGAACGGTGTCCAGGAGTGGCAGGTGCCAATCACAGGAAAGTACGATGTAGAAGCTTGCGGAGCATCAGGAGGGGACGGAATTTTCGCCAAGAAAGGAGGCAAAGGAGCAAAAGTCAGCGGCGTAATAACACTGTCAAAGGATGAGAAGTTAGCCATACTGGTGGGACAAAA